GTTGTCAACCAGTGGGCTGTGGCCCACTGGAAAAATTTTTGGTGGGCCGCAGAAAAATTCACCCCCAGAGCAGCCCCCCAAAGCAATTAATCCAGGCTGCGCAGAAACACAAAGCTGCACCACCCACAGGGCCACCAGGAACCCTCTCCACCCACTCACTCCTTACCCAGCAAACTTGTCTGCTAAGTTGCTATTTTTCCTTTTTCTGACCATCATCTGTTCTGCTGTGCCGGGAGATTTAGATTAGCTAGGAAGCAGGAAATGGTTGGATTTCTTGCTTTCTAGCTAAGCACAGCCAAACCTCCCTTAGGACTGAAGGTTTGCTTGCAAGCAAATTCAGTGCAGTCTCACGTCAAGCAAATTTGAGAGACTGAGCTAGCCGATGGCAGATAGATAGATCACTCAATGATTCTGTGAGCAACTCAATCTGCCTGCTCTGCCTGATTTTGGATAGAAGTTGCTCTTCTTTTTAAAATAAAAAATCCAATATTTACATGCATGGTGTGTTGTGAGTTAATTTTGTGAGTTTGCTTGCTAGCAAAGTTTATGTGACAAACTGAGCAAGATATGGCAGATAGATTTCTGAATGAATCTATAATAATATAATAATTTATAATATTTACATACAAGCCATGCCCAGCCAGTCACATGACCACCAAGCCTCACCCACAAATTAGGCCACACCCACAGAACCAGTTTAGTGGTCCCTGGGATCTAAAATTATGAGTTTGGTGGTCCCTGAGGTCCAAAAGGTTGGCGACCCCTGCTCTGGACAGCACAATATCGGTACTTGGAGATGCAAATTCCTTTGGGATTCCCTCTTCCTCCCGTGAAATAACCTGGACGAGGAAAAGAAAACTCTGGGGCTGAAAATGGAGAGAAACCAAAGTCTCTTCTAGCGCTAAACTTGCATTGGGGTCTCCAAAGCTGGATGGTGTCATATCCATAGTTGGAGATGCGAATTCCTTTGGGATTTCCTCCCCTTCTTGCTCCTGTGGAATAATCTGGAGAGAGGCAAAGAGGATCCCGGAACTGAAATTGCGGGGAAACCAAAGTCACTTCTATTGCTCCCTAACACCTGCTAGTTAAAAGGAAACCACGCCACCAGGAGATCCTCCAAGGAGGGGATGTCCCCCTCACCTGCCGCTCACCTGCTGCCTCCCCTCCTGGGCCCGAGGACGGCTGAGAGGGAAGCCCCCGGCCAGGGCCGCCGCCGCTCGGGAGCAGCTCTCCGCCATCTCCGGGAGGGAGGAGCAGCCCGGCCAGGACCCGCTTCGGGAGGTCAGCGGCTCCTCCTCCACTCGGGGATTCGGCCAGCCGGGGGTGGGGGGGTGAAGCTGCTGCAAGGCGGCTGCAGACCGCCCGGGTCCCCGTTGAGCCAGGCAACCCAAAGCGGCGGAAACGCTCGGCCTTTGAGCCCGGCGGCTCCGCTGCCGATCCCCGCCTCCTCCTCCTCCCCTTCGTCCCGCTCTGGATCTGGGGAAGCGCACCTTGTTGCAGCCTCGGGGAACCTGGGGCTAGGGGCGAGAGAGCGCTCCTTCCTAGAGCGTCGACCCTCCCGCTCCCTCCCTCCTGCCTCCCCCCTCCCCTCTTTAAAAAACGTCCCCGGCGGCCGCCTCAATCACCCCCCCCCGCCCCTTTCCTGCACAAGGCGACGGCTGTCCAAGCTCCCGCGCGCATGCTCCGTCCCAAAGCTGAAGGGAAGGAAGGAGAGCGAATAAGCTGCGCGTGGCTCTTGCGGCTCCTTCCAAGACTTTTGAAGGAGGGTGAATCGCAAGCAGCCTTGGGGGGGCGGCGGGGGTGTGGATCAGAATCGGAATCGAGCTCGAAGGGACCTTGGAGGTCTTCTAGTCCAACCCTCTGCATCCTGTACCATTTCAGATAGGTGGTTGTTCAAGTCTCTTCTTAAAAAAAAGCTCCAGCACCCACAGCTTCTGGTGGCAAGCTGTTCCACTGGTTCATTGTCCTCACCGTTGGGAAGTTCCTCCTTAAGTCCAGGTTGTCTCTCTCCCAGAATAAGAGTAGGGATGGGGATAGAATGGAATGGAATAGAATAGGAATACCAGAGTTGGAAAGGGACCTTGGAGGTCTTCTAGTCCAGCCCCCCTGCTCAACAGGAGACCCTGTGCCATTTCAGATAGGTGGCTGTTCAGTCTCCTCTTAAAAAACCTCCAGTGATAAAAGCACCCACAACTTCTGGTGGCAAGCTGTTCCACTGGTTCATTGTCCTCACAGTTAGGAAGTTCCTCCTTAATTCCAGGTTTTCTCCTTTATTTAGTTTCCCTTCACCGTTTCTTGTCCTGCCTTCTGGTGCTTTGGAAAATAAACTGAACCCCCCTTCTTTATGGCAACCTCTCAAATACTGGAATACTGCTATCATTGCCACCCCCCCCCCCCCCCCCCCCCCCCTCTCTCCCTCCCCCCCCACCATACTCCCTCAACTGTTTCTCATACGTTCTTTCTCTCCAGGCCTTTGGTTTAAGTTGTTTTTTTTTGCCTTTTTTTCTCCCCAAAGTCTCAGTATCTTTTTTTTGGTAATGTGGTGACCAAGACTGGATGCCGTATTCCAGGTGTGGTCCAAGGCAGGGGTGGGATTCAAATTTTTAACAACCGGTTCTGTGGGTGTGGCTTAGGTGGTGGACATGGCTTGGTGGTCATGTTATTGGCTGGGTGTGGGCAACTCAACATCACTCACATCGAGGCACGCATCTCCTCCCCTGGCCTCTCATGACTGTGGGGATGCTGCAACAGTCGTAAGTGTGAAAAATGGTCATAAGTCACCTTTTTCAGGGCCATTGTAACTTTGAATGGTACCAGCAAAGGAGGGGAAAAAAAACTCCAGAGACATTCCTGAGACAGGAAGTCTAGTCCTGCCAAGAATGTAATAAGGGTTAACGGAGAGGCAGTTTCTGTAAGCAACACCAGAATGTTTCCTTCCTGCCTTCCTTACAGGATTAGGCCAGTAATTTCTTCTAACAACTGGTTCTCTGAACTGCTTAGAATGTTAACAGCCGATTCTAGTGAATAGGTGCGAACTGGTAGAATCCCACCCCTGGTCCAAGGAGTCCTGGGAGGGAGCTATTATCCTACTAATCCTCCTCCTCACCCCTTTGATACAGGTAAGTCCTCGATTTACAACAATTTGTTTAGTGGCTGTTCAAAATTATAATGGCACTGAAAAATGTGGTTTATGGCTGTTTTTCAGAATTACGACCTTTGCAGCATCCCTGTGATTAAAATTTGGATGCTTGGCAATCGATTCATATTGATCCCTTGTGGTGTCCCAGACTCATACAATCCCCTTTTGCGGCCTTCTGACAAGCAAATTCAAGGAGGAAGCCAGATTCAGATAGCATATAATCAGAGTTGGAAGGGACCTTGTAGGTCATCTAGTCCAACCCCCTGCCCAAGCAGGAGACCCTACACCATTTCTGACAAATGGCAGTCCAATCTCTCCTTGAAAGTCTCAAGTGATGACAGTTCCACAACTTCCCAGGGCAACTTCTGTTCCATTGGTTGATTGTTCTGTCAGAAAGTTTCTCCTTATTTCCAGGTTAAATCTCTCCTTGTTCAGTTTCCATCCATTATTCAATGAACTGAACAATCTGGTTTACTCACTTATCACCTGCCGTGATTCACTTAACTGTGGCATTAAAGGTCGTAAAATGGGGCAAAACTCACTTAACAACTTACATTTTCGGCTCTATTGTGGTCGTAAGTCGAGGACTACCTGTATCCTTAAGCTGTGACTCGGGGGCTGGCTTCCTTAGTGGAGGTTTAGAGTCCAAGACTGGATAGGAATTTGTCTCGCCTGTCAGAGGATTCCTATCCTGTGCTGGGATCCCACTAGGGCAGTGATGGCTAACCTTTATCTCGTCGCGTGCGCATAATGCAATGCGTGCATGACTCTGCCCTGCAGAGACTTTTCTGTATACACAGCCCTTCCCTGTTAGCAGTGAGCGTGGAGCTATTTACTGGGCAGCGTTCCAGGATTGATAAAGGTCTGAGCTCATGAGTCTACCTTTGCAAGGCTGTTTGCCAAGCTGTTGGCTAACCGTGAATGAAAGAAATTCATATTAATGTAATAAAAGAGATTTTTGCTGGGACTCAGAATTGACTTAGTGCTTTTTGGGGAGGCCTAGGACAGAACAAAGAGTGGGAAAAATCCATTCCAAATACACTCTTCAGTAATTACCGTATTTCCCCATGTATAAGCACCCCCCCCAATTTTTGGACTGTGAAGTTTTGAAAAAAATATTTTATTAGAGAAACAAGTTATGAAGAAAGAAAATTTACAAAGAAACAAAATTCGACGTCTAGATCTACAACTTCGGTCATGACGCCGAAAGCGGTGCGGGCGACGCTAGCAATCTACGCATCGGAACGAGAGTAGGAACGAAGCATTCAGGCCGATGCCTAGCGTATGCATTTCTATCGCGTACTCGCACTCGTAATCGTATCATCACGTACAATTTTTACAAAAAAGTATAGCATACTGCTGGAAAACCAGTTTATTCCTACTTTATTATTTTATGCATTTTTCACGTATAAAAAGTGTACCTGCTTTGTATATGCCACCCCCCTACTTTTTGGGCTTGAAAATTTTGGAAAAAAGGGGTGGCTTATACATGGGGAAATACGGTAAATTAAGGAAGAATAGCCATTTTTTTTTTAATAATTGGCTAAAATAGGCTTGTGGAGATGAGGAAGTGGGTATTATCCTTTATTAAAGTTGGAGTCCATTGAGGTATATGTGTATCGGTCAGTTTCACGCTCTTATCACAACATCTTTAATCTGTGCAGTTCATCCAAACTCACATTGTTGTGGGATTGGGGACAGTTCTGCCATTCAGAGTTTGTACACCTCTGAGGCGTTTCTCCCCAAAATAAGATCTTTTACGGGAAAACAAGGGCATAAATTCAAAGGGCCACTGGAATCTTTCCTCACAGTGGGTATTTTTATTCTTCCATGTGGTTTCTTTTAGGCCTGATCATGTTACTCCTCTAATTCAACATTTCTCCACAGTACACCTATTTCTATTATTTGTTCCCCACAAGAATCCTTTTTTTTCACGAGAAAAGATTTGGAAGGCAAGCTTTGGTCTTACGTTTTTTTCCGCATGTGTGTTCTTTCATGTTGCGAAAGGTGATTGGTCTGGTTGAAGCTTTTCCCGCAGTCTGCACATTTGTAGGGTTTCTCTCCCGTGTGGATCCTTTTGTGTTTGACAAGGTTCGCGTTCTGTGTGAAGCTCTTCCCGCATTCTGTGCAGTTGTACGGTTTTTCTCCCGTGTGGATCCTTTTATGGCAAAGGAAATTACTGTACTTACAGAAACTCTTTCCACAGTCCATGCACTTGTAGGGTTTCTCCCCCGTGTGGATTCTGATGTGGTTTCTAAGACTTGAACGCCCACCAAATTTCTTCCCGCATATCAAGCATATATACGGTTTCTCCCCAGTGTGGGTTCTTTGATGTCTTGTGAGGCCATCCTTATAGGAAAATCTCTTTTCGCACTCTGTGCATTTATACGGCTTCTCTCCGGTGTGTTTTCTTCTATGAGACATAAGCCGACTGCTTTTATTAAAACCCTTGCCACACTCCAGGCATGTATACGGTTTCTCTCCCGTGTGAATCCTTTTATGACAAACGAAGTCACTGCTGCAAGTGAAACTCCTTCCACACTCCTGGCACTGGTACGGCTTCTCCCCCGTGTGAATCCGTTGGTGTTGCAAAAGCTTATAGTTCTGATTGAAGCATTTCCCGCACTCCGCACATTTATAGGGATTTTCTCCCGTGTGGATTTTTTTATGCTGCAAAAGGCTACTGTTGTGACCGAACCTTTTCCCACACTCCACGCACCGGTACGGTTTTTCTCCTGTGTGGATCCTTTTATGGCAAATAAATTGACTGCTCTGATTGAAACTTTTCCCACATTCCGGGCACGTGTAGGGTTTTTCCCCGGTGTGAATTCGTTTATGTTGCGAAAGGTTGCTTTTCTGACTGAAGCTCTTTCCGCACTCCAAACACCGGTAGGGTTTCTCTCCTGTATGGATCCTCTTGTGTTCCAAAAGGTGACAGTTTCGCCGGAAGTTCTTCCCGCACTCCAGGCATTGGAAGGGTTTTTCTCCCGTGTGGATCCTCCTGTGGCAAAGGAGGACGCTGTTGTCGCGGAAGCTCTTTCCACATTCTGTACATAGGTACCGTTTCTCCTCCGTGTGGCTCCTTACGTGTTTCACCAGGTTCGAACGCCCACTGAACTGCCTTCCACACTGCAAGCACGTATATGGTTTCTCCCCCATGTGGGATCGTTGGTGTCTCGTAAGGTGACCGCTCTGGCTGAATCCTCTTCCACACACCAGGCATACGTACGGTTTCTCCCCTGTGTGAGTCCGTTCATGTATGATCAGGTTTCCTTTCTGAGCAAATGTCTTTTCACACCTCAGACATCGATACGGTTTCTCCCTTGGGGGGATTTTGGGAGGTAAAATAAGTAATTGTTTCTTACTGAAATCCACTCCACACTCATATGGTTTCTCTCCTTTATGGGAAATTATGTGACCACTGAAACTGAAATTCTCCTCACAATTTATACATGCATATGGTGTCTCTTGAATGTACGATGGGTGATGTAAATCAAGGTAGGAGGTCGAGCTGATACTTTGCCCATCCTCTTGATATTCATATTGTTCCTCTTCTGTCTGGGTTGGATAATATTTAATGAAATCAGTGTTCTCTTTGTCTTCTTTGCCAAATCTGAAGTATTTTCCCTTTTCTTCTTGTTGGTGAACTTCCTGGGTTGGGCGAGAAAGGACTTCACTGTGTGCAGAAGATTCCTCCCCTCTGCTCACTTCACAGCTTTTCTTACTCCCTTGTGATGGGTCTTGATCTACAGGTGAATCTTCTTCAGACTTGATCACTCGCTCCTTGTAATTCTCATGCTCTTGTCTGTAAGCTGATTTGAAGAAACAAAAAGCCACAAGGGAAAAAAACAAACAAATCTTATAAATCGTTCATGAACAAAGCAGACGTTGTTTCTCGCATAAACCAAATTTTGCTGGTTTTGTCTGTTTATATATATCTAAAACACCATACATTTATGATGTCCTTTAAATGCCCTGTGAATGCTGAGAAGATGTTAAACTGCCAAAGCACACGGTATCCCTGCAGAAATGTTAAAATAATGAATTTAAATTGCTTGTGGAGTTGCTGTGGTAGTGGTTTAACGTACGAACTGGATTCACTGCTACTTAGGTTCTTGAAATGATATCAGGTTTCTCTAACAGTAGCCTTATACAACAGAGATCTCTAAACTTGGCAACTTTAAGACTTCAACTCCCATAATTCCTTAGCCAGCTATGCTAAGTTGCCAAGTTTGGGGATTCCTGCTATATAACTATCTTGAGCTGAAGCACTCAAGGGAAAAAAAAATGTCACTTATTCTCAGCCTTACGGGAAGTTTACAAATGATTGATTCAGAACCAAAAGAAAGGCCCTTTGGCTTAACAGCCAGTATGAAAACTGTCACTGATTATCAGGCAACCTAAGAAGTTGGGGGGGTTGTAAAGAACAGATGTCAGAGATATTGAGGTCAGTAGCTTCCTCTCCTGAGACTGTTTGGGATACCTGCTCTACAATCAGATCAGAGAGAAGCTGTCATCTTTCCTAAAGAACTTCCTCAAATAAGAAAGATCCCATAAAACGGGTGCCCAACCTGTGGCCCAATATCAGATCGTGGGCTAATTGCCATTGGGCCACTCGTGTGAGCCTTGGCACAGGCAGTCATGGTGTCAACTAAAAAAAATACTCCTTTGGTCTTTTTAGTTGCCAACAGGGAGTGGGGGAAAGCAGTGCATTCCTTAAATGCCTCAGATAATCGCCTTGGCAGCCCAAAGCTGTCGGCGCGTAAGAATATTACTGTGGAGCATGATTGATGACTCTTGGCTATGGATGTATCCCATTGCAGAATATACATCCAGGGGGTAGGGGGAAGACCAGGATCAAAAGGTAAATGAACGATGTATTTTAGTGTCGGCTGCACCCAGCTAATGCCGACATGGTCACTCCGAATAAATCTTTTTTTTTTTTTACTTCGAGAGATGCGGCTAGAGACTTATGATTTGAATGGGGGTGGATTTGTTGGAGCCCTGACAGCTAGCTGACACTAAAATATATCATTCATTTCCCCCTTGACCCTGGTTTTTCCCACACCCCTGGATGTATATTCTCCAATGGGACACATCCATAGCCAAGACTCATCAATCATGCTCTCCAGTAATATTCTTACGCGCCGACCGCTTTGGGCTGCCAGGGTGATTCCCCCGACCTCTGTGGGCGCGTGCAGCCCCACTTGCACAAACCCCATTCGTGCAAGCCTTGTCACGGGTGCTCATGGCTCCACTCAAGGGAGCGTCACTGCCAATGTCATGGGTGCTCGTGCACACGGGCATACATGAGCTTGCCTCTCCCACAAAATCCTCTTTTTTCCCCCAGTTTTGGGTCAGCAACCCAGAAAGGTTGGGGAACTATGCCACAAAATACCTCTAGTATCAACTTCTACATAAATTTATTTTGATCTTAGAAATAAAAAGGTCCCAAATCCTCTTTTTCTTGCCAAAAGGTGCCACCTCGCCACATGAATAACAAACAATTTCCACAATTAATTGATCCCAATCCCGGAGCAAAGTGAAGGCTTACCCAGAGCGGCCACACTCCTAAAATTTTCCAGCATAACATCCTCGTGCAAGGCTCTCTGGTTGGGATCCAGCATCGCCCACTCCTCCTCCGTGAAATACACAGCCACCTCCTCAAAGGATACCAAATCCTGAAAGTCAAACGAAACATTCCTTAACAGAGACTCCAGAATGTTCTCTCCTAGACTTTCTGACATCCTAAAAATGAGTTTTGCAAAACAGAAAATGCTCTTCTTTCTGACATGATACCAGGTTTAATGGCTGCCTTTCCAAAGATTTTGTATTTCGTACGTGCCACTTAATTTAATTAGAATTTAACATTAATGAACATTGTTTATATATATATATGCTAATATAATCAATAGGATTACATATAAGCTAATAATATAATTATAAATATGGTTAGAATCATTTTCTTGTACTATAACTATTATCAGTATATACTGTATGTTCTTCTTTCTTTTCTCTTTTGTAAAATAGTATGCCCGGACAATACACTATATTCATAATATTTATATATAAATAAAAAACCCTTGCTTTTTAAAAAAGAATTTAATGTTAATGAATGTTTATAACTATGCTAATATAATCAACAGGATTACAAATAAGCTAATAATGTAATTATAAATATGGTACGAATCATTTTGTTGTACTATTACTGTTGTTATCAGTATATATGTTATTCTTTCTTTCTTTTTTCCCTCTTTTGTAAAATGGTATGCCCGGACAATACATTGTATTCAAAATATTTATATATAAATAAAAAACTTGATTTGAAAAAAGAATTTAACGTTAATACTGTTCTCTTGCTAGAAATAGATTTCTCTGGTTATTTTACGACACAACCCCCCCCCACAAACGCACAAGTGATTCCATGAATATATTCGGCTTCTCAATATGTTGCACTTCAACAGCTAACTTGAAAACAGGACCATGCCAATGAATCCTAATCGCAACACTTGACCTCCTTATCATGATTTGCATTGAGTCCAGAGGTGATATATTGCCGGTTTGCACCGATTCTAGCGATCCGGTAGCGCCGGTCAGCAGTTGGCTCCGCCCACCTGCCCTTTCCTATCCTATATTTCCTTTGCTTGTAGCTCAGCTGATAGGCATGGGAGAACAGATTGCCGTGTCTCAGCTGTTTTATTTACCAGCGCTAAAGCAAAGTTAAGTTTTCATGCTCAAAATTCCCCTTTTTAGAATGCTCCATGCTTGGGCAAAGCACATGTGCGCGCACGAAACAAGTGCCCACAGAGCCGGTAGTAAAATATTTTGAATTCCACCACTTCCAGTGTTGTAATGACGAGGCAGTTGAGGTGTTTGATCATGATCAAATGAATCACGATGAACTTTATTGGAGTCTAGCATTTATTCACATTTTTAGTAATCCTCTAACATTGGTTAACTTTGGTTATTGCTCAACTTTCATTACTGTTTAGCATAGTAATTAACACAACTAATTATCTCTAGTTAAAGTCTAACATATGTTTACTTCCTCTCTCTAATCCTTCTTTGCATTAGTGATTTTGTTTGCCTGAGTTGTATTTGCTTTGGAACCTTCTTAATCTGAGGTTTGCCATCAAGATAAGAGCATTCCTGCAATTACAACTCTACATTCCAGGACACAATCAGATCCCAAAATGTTTCCCTGTTCTTCTAAAGCAGGGGTGTTAAACTCAATTCCACTGAGGGCCACATCAGGGCTGTGGTTGACCTCAGGGGGAGGTGTGGCTGAGTAGGTGGGCTTGGCCAGCTTGACACCACTCATTGGGCATGGCCAACTGGATGGGCGTGACCAGCTTGATGCCATTTCCCAAACTGCTGGCATGTTTCCTCTTCGCACTGGGTAGACCGGGTCGAAGCCACGCTGGCCCAATGCTTCCTCTTCTCATTGGGTAGACAGGGCTGAAGCCACGCTGGACGAATGTGCTAACTTAAAAATATTTCGCTGGTCTTTTAGAGTTGTCAGCAGAAAGGGAGTGGGTGGAGTAATGCATACCTTAAATATTTTTATAGATAATTGCTAGGCAGACGAAGCTTCTGGTGGGCAAGATTATCACTGGAGAGCATGATTGATGACTCTTGGCTATGGATGTGTCCCATTGGAGAATATACATCCAGGGGGTGGGGGAAGACCAGGGTCAAGGGTGAGATGTGTTTCAGTGTCGGCTGCACCCAGATAACGCCAACATGTTCACTCCTAATAAATGATTTTTTAAAAACGCTGAGAGATGTGGCTAGCGTTGTGGTTAGCTGGCAGCAGGTGCAGACGGCTGAGGAGAGCGAGGACTCAGATGAGGGGCCAGGACCATTAGGGAGTGGAGTGCTGTCTTCAGAGATAGTGGGAGCTGGCAGCAGTGATGAGGAGGTTCCCGAGGAGCCTGTGCCAAGTGCACGTGAGCGCAGGATTGCTCGCAGGAAAGAGCAGCTGCAACAGCATGGGCAACTCAGGAGTAAGGCTGCAAGGTAATGGCCCCTCCTTCAAGAAGATAAAAGCCAGCTGTGAAAAGAACGTACTTTGCAGAAGGCAAAGACGTTTTGAAACTCCAGCCTCATGGACATTCCAATATCCTGAGTTTGTATTTGAAGATTCTTATATCGCAAATTATTTTTTGTCTGTTATCTTTTGGCAAGTCTCACACAGTTTGGCAAGGCTTGCGCTTATCACAGGTAATTATTTTGTACAAGCATTACAAGGTTTCTGTTCCTTTGGGATTGTGTTTGATTTGTTGGCAAAGGGCGGGGGTCAGAACAGCTAGAGACTCATGATTCGAATGGGGGTGGATTGTCGGAGCCCTGACACGATGCTTCCTCTTTGTATTGGGTAGACCGGGCCAAAGCAACACGGGCCAACCCCTTACATTTTCCAGGATAGTCCTGTGGGCCAGATCCAACTACATTGCGGGTCAGGATCCCGCCCACAGGCCCTGTGTTTGACACCCCTGTTTTAAAGCTTCCCTACCTGCGCTTTTGCTGATCCATGACAAAGAGGGTTGTGATCCTCCTCAGAGATGCTTCCCCATAGCTGCTTCATAGAGGAGGGATGGGAGAGACCTTCTCTTTCTTCAGGAGTTACCAAGATTGACTGCTTCAGAGGCTCTTCCATCTGTAGTCAACAGTCCAGATGACAGAAAAATATTTAGATTAAAACAACTGAACATTGGAAGGAGATCCTTCTCTTCCCCTCCCCCAAATCAACCATGTTATATAGCAGTGATGGCGAAACTTTTTGTTGTGGTGTGCCGAAAGCGCACACATGCCAGCACCCACAGTGCAATGTGCCCCGCCCTCTTACCTGCACTGAGCATGTGCATGCCTTCCACTTGATTTTCGGCCCATTTGAGGCCGTTTTCGCCCTCCCAGAGGCTCGAGAAAAGCCTCTGCAGCCTTGGGAGGCTGAAAAATGGGTTTTCTGGAAATACCGGAACTGCCGAAACGGGCCTGTTTTCAGCCTCCTGAGGCTGCAGAGGCTTCCCTCGAGCCTCCGGGAGGGTGAAAACAGCCTCCCCCGAGCTCCACGAGGTCCTCTGGAGGCTGAAAACAGGCATTTCTGGTATTTCCAGAAGGCCCACCTGATTTTCGGCCTGTTTGAGGCCGTTTTCACCCTGCCAGAGGCTCGAGGGAAGCTTCTGCAGCCTCGGGAGGCCAAAAAACGGGCCTTCTGAAAATACCAGAAGTGATGAAATGGGCCCGTTTTCGGCCTCCCGAGGCTGCAGAGGCTTCCCTCAAGCCTCTGGGAGGGCGAAAACGGCTTCAAATGGGCCAAAAATCAGCTGGGAGGTGTGTGCATGTGCAGTGCAGGTAAGTTTGGCTGGGGCTCGCGTGACGGCACAAATGGCTCTGCGTGCCACAAGTTCGCCATCACGGTTATATAGCAATAGCACTTATATACTGCTTCACGGTGTTTTACAGCCCTAAGCGGTTTACAGAGTCAGCCTATGGCCTCCAACAATCTGGGTCCTCATTCTACCGACCACAGAAGAACGGAAGGCTGAGTCAGACTTATATCCATAGATGGAGATGCAAACTCCCTCAGGATACCTCTCCATCCTGTGGAATAACCTGGATGGGGAAACACGACACCGGGACTAAAAATCACGGGACTGTAGGGATGCTGCAAAGGTCATTAAGTGTGAAAAACAGTCATAAGTCATTTCCCCCTCTCCCCCAGTGCTGCTGTCACTTCGAACGGTCACTAAAGGAACTGCTGTAAGTCAAGGACTACCTGTAATCTGGGCAGGGAAAGAGAACCCTGGGGACTGAAAATGGAGGGAAACCAAAGTCTCCGCTATTGCTGCAAAGAGCTGGGCCAGGCAAGTGGCCCTTCTTCCTCCCAGGAGGGAATCCCCTCATCTGCCACTGTACGGTCACTAAATAAACTGTTGTAAGTCGAGGACTATCTGTAATGTGGGCAAGGAAAGAGAACCCTGGGACCGGAAATGGAGGGAAACCAGAGCATCTTCCATTGATACGACCTGCCTTTGAGCAGGGCAAGGGAACTGGATCTTCCTCCCAGGAGGGGATAGGCCCTCCACCTGCGGCTGTACCTTCGGTCACTAAATGAACTGTTGTAAGTATAGGACTACCTGTAATGGTAGGGGGGGGGGAGAAAACCCTGGGACCGAAAATGGAGGGAAACCGGAGCATCTTCCATTGATACGACCTGCCTTTGAGCCGGGCAAGGGAACTGGGTCTTCCTCCCAGGAGGGGAGATCCTCTCATCTGCCGCCTCCTTCTCAGCTCCTGGGCCTAAGGAAGGCTGAGCGAGAAGACCCCGGGCCAGGGCCACAGCCCGGGAGCAACTCTCCGCCCGGCCCTCCCGCAGCTAGCCAGCCCCGCCATCTCCGGGAACAGCCCGGGCAGGACCCGCTCTGGGATCCCCCACCCCTCGGGAGCTCTCCTCCTCCTTCTCCTCCTCCTGGGGCTTCAGCCAGTCGGGAGCGAAGCTGCAGCAGGTGGCTGCAGACCACCCGGGGCCCCGCTGACTCTCCGCCGGCTGCTCCCCGCAACCTCCTCCTCCTCCACCGCCGGACCATCGGGCTGCCCCGCCGTGCCTCTAGCCCGCTCTTCTCCACTCCTGCCCGGTCAGCCTCCGGACGCACAGCCGCTCCGCTCCGGATTCCCCTTCCTTCTCCTTCTCCCGGGGAAAGCGGGAATCGCGCTTCCCCCCCGCGATCCGGATCCGGGGAAGCGGAGGTGCCGCTGATTCCCGGGAATCCGTTCCCGGCGAAACGCCCCCCCCCCCTCCTCCGGGAGGTTCGGACTACGGGCGAGAGAGCGCTTCTTCCTAGAGAGGCACCGCTCCTCCAGCCTCCCTCCCCTCTTGCCTCCCCACCACCCTTGAAAACAAGGGTCTTCAAACTTGGCGGCTTTAAGACTTGTAGACTCCCAGAATCCCTGAACTAACATGTTTGGAGGAGGAATTCTGGGAGTTGAAGTCCATACGTCTTAAAGCTGCCAAGTTGGAAGACCCTTGCTTAGTTTAAAATGTCCCCTTTGTCAAAGCTCTCTCGTGCATGCTCCGTCCTAATCCTGCTAATGCTTTCTCCTTCTCCTTCTCCTTCTCCTTCTGGCTCCTTTCTGGTCAGGTACAGAAACAGATTAACAGAGTTGGAAGAGACCTTGTAGGTCATCTTGTCCAACCCCAGGCCCAAGCAGGAGACCCTGCACCATTTCTGACAAATAGCAGGCCAATCTCTTCTTGAAAGCCTCCAGTATTGAAGCTCCCAACTTCTGTTCCATGGGTTGATTGTTCTCACAGTCAGAAAGTTTCTCCTTATTTCCAGGTTGAATCTCTCCTTGTTCAATTTCCATCCATTATTCCTTGTCTGACCTTCAGGTGCTTTAGAAAACAGCTTGTCTCTCTCCTCTCTGTGGCAGCCCCCCAAATATTGGAAGATGGCTATCATGTCTCCCCTGGTCCTTCAGTAGACTAGCCAGGCCCAATTCCTGCAACCGTTCTTCATGTTTTAGTCTCCAGTCCCCTAATCATACTGGTTGCTCTTGTCTGTATGAGTCTCAACATCTTTCTTTATAGTGTGGTGACCGAAACTGGATGCAGTAATCTAGGTGTGGTCTTACTAAGGCTTTATAGAGTGGTATTAGTACCTCACTTGATCCCCAGTGCATCTAATCCTCAATGTACGACCACAATGGAACCAGAGGTGGTATTCAGAAGGTTCTGACCACTTCTGGAGAACCGGTAGCAGAAATTTTGAGTAGTTTGGAGAACTGGCAAATACCGCCTCTGACTGGAGATTTTACAGTATCCTTCCCCTGCCACGCCCACCAAGCCACGCCCACAGAACCGGTAGTAAAAAATTTTGAATCCCACCATTGAATGGAGCCCAATGTTCCTGTGGCGAAGTCAGCCATTTGTTAAGCAAGCTTTGAGACTCATTTGCCACCTTTCTTTCCACCGTTGTTAAATGAATCACTGCAGTGATGAAGTTAGTAACCCGGTTGTTAAGTGAATCTGGCTTCCCCACTGACTTGTCGGAAGGTTGTAAAATGGTGTGTGTGTCACGTGACCCCAGGACACTGCAACCATCGTAAATATGAAGCAGTTGCCAAGCATCTGAATTTTGATCGTGTGATTGTGGGAAAGCTGCAATGGTCGTGTGAAAAAATGGTCATGTCACATTTTTCAGGGCCGTTGTAACTTTGAACAGTCAATAAATGCACTGCTATAAGTTGAGGACTACCTGTATTTGATTTTTGGGGGGCTCCTTTCAGGTCTTTTAAAAGAGGTGAGGATCCCCAGTACAGTTAATCCTCAACTTATGCTGTGATTCGCAGGCAGCAGGTGCGGACGGCTGAGGTCTTGGAGAGCGAGGACTCAGATGAGGGGCCTGCGTGTGATGCAGGGATGGGGCCAGGACCATCAGGGAGTCGAATGCTGCTTTTGGAGATTGTGGAGGTTGGCAGCAGTGATAAAGAGGTTCCCAAGGAGCCTGTGCCCAGAACACATGTGTGCAGGGCTGCTCGAAGGAAAGAGCAGCTGCAGCAGCATGGGAGACTCGGGAGTAAGGCTGGAAGGTAATGGCTTCTCCCTTAAAGAGATAAAAGCCAGCTGAGAAACTGCAGTTCTTTGCAGGAAGCAAAGAAGTTTGACACTTGAGCCTGGTGGACGTTAGAATATCCTATTCGGAGACTCTTTGATTTATTGTTTAGGAACTTCATCTGTTGTTCTTGGCAGACTTGCAAAAACTTGGCAAGGCTCTTCCTTATCGGAACTAATTAGTTGGAAGCAGCCTTTTATCTGTGAAGAAACGGGATTCATAAATGAAACAGTATAAGGTTGCGCTGGTACCTTTGTCTTGCGTTTATTCTTGTGGAACCAGGTTTGGGTCAGAACAACTTACGACCACAACAAAGCCCAACCTTCCTGTGGCTAAGTGAGACGTTCGTTAAGCGAGCTTTGAGACCCGTTTTGCGACGTTTCGTGCCACCACTCTTAAGTGAATCACCGCAGTGATGAAAGAACCCCGGTTGTTCAGTGAATCTGGCCTCCCCATTGGATTTGCTGGTCAGAAGGTCGCAAAAGGGGGGATCACGTGACCCCAGGACACTGCGACCGTGATAAATATGAGTCATCGGCAAGCATTTCAATTTTGATCATGTGACCATGGGGATGCTGCAACGGTCCTAAGTATGGAAAAAAACGGTTGTGAGTCACTTTTTTCAGTGTCAACTGAATGAACGGTTGTAAGTTGAGGACTATCTTTACTCAATGCAGAGTCATAGACTAAAAAGCATCTGTGATGACCCTGGGTGTGGCACAAAGGCAACGCAGTCAGATAATCAATAAGAGTCCTTTTAATAGATCCAACTTTGCCCCCCAATGTCCTCGTTACCTTCTGGCTGGAGAAAAACTCTCCCAGGAACAGGCTTTGCCTCCAGAAAATTAAGTTCAAAACATGGTCAACACAAACTGTCACTTTAAATCCAATCAAGCCAAACTGAAGTAATTAGTTTGGTAGGGCAGGAGCAAGAATTTCAGACTTGAAGGTATGGCAAAACTCACACAGTTGGGAAGATGCCAGGAACATGGATAAGCAATGACAACACAAGATAAAGTCACGTTTGCTCCCAGCAGCCTGCCGCATGCAGCCTGCCTTTCTTATAAACTGTGTTCCCAGCTGTGGCTAATGAAGGGAATCAGGGCCCTTTCCTCCCCCGTAAGCCAGACAACCCATGTTGCTCTCTTCTCTGTTCCTCCCTGTGTGCCCTAGGATGAAGAGGGGATGGGCCTAGGTCTTCCTCTGAACTCCCTCT